CAATAGCAACTGCTTCTTTTGGTAAACTTTAGACAGTTTCTGGAATCACAGCAGGGTTTCAAATTCTAAGATGTAAAGAAAGGCAGGAGTCTACCCACTCACCAAAGTCTAAGAACTACTAAGACTCACAGGGACAGGTCATGGCACCAGGCAAGGGAAGAAAACTCATGGGAGATTGTGGGACTTTGCTGCTGAAAAGTCTCTATCTCTCATCTTCTTTATGATTTAGAGTGCATCATAGCTTGAGCCCTTCACTCCTTGAAGCCTACTGAAGACTGTGTGTGCTACATTCCACTCAACAGATGAAGAAACCAAGGTCTGGCAGCTAGAGGACCCGCTGGAGTCCGGCAACAGTAGGTAACATGGCATAAAGTTGCCAGGTCCCCAAATTCCAGGCTCACACTAGCTCAGTGCTATGCTGACCTACCAACCTTGGTTATCACCTGACCACTTGCCTCCCTCCCTCCTTTTCCCATCAAGTATTAGATTTAATTAAATTAGCAGAGCCCCATTGCAACAATCCTGGCCCTGCTGCCTGAACAGAACCCAGCCAGTGCAGCTCCTCCCTCTAAATTTTGCTTCTCAATATAAATATAATTCAATCTTCAATAAGTCACTGATCTCATATGAAGCGCCTTATATACAGCAGAGTGTGTTGCCTAGACTCAAGGCTCATGGTGGCTCACGACGATTTCATTTTCCATATAACTTCCTCTGCAGTGTCATTTTCACCCTCTCCATCCTGGGATCTGCATTTTGTTTGATCCAGACACTCCGCTTCACATGCCGTCACCTACAGCAATTGCATCACACATTTATATATATCTTACAGCGTTGCAGTCCTTGTGCCACATGCATAGGAAAAAAGGAAAACTTATAACAGCATTTCTCACCCTCCTCCAGCTAATTTAGAAAATGTGCTCCAGATTAAATAAATCAGGAACAAAAATCTAAAATTGGAGGTAGAATTTCTGAAAGGTGGTGGTGATGGTTGGGGGGGGTTAAATAAATAGCAAGGAAATCTTGCAACATGTTGGAAGCCCATAAATTTTATTGGTTATTTCTTTAATAAAAACAATTTCAATTGCTAACAGCACAGCATTATTAAGCCGCTAACATTTGAAAATCTAATTTGCCCCTGTTCTGTGGCTGTTTATGTTACATGTTGCTTTCAGGGAAGGTAAAGAAGTCAGGTTGATCACTTTGGTTTGGTTCCTAAATCAAGGTAATAGAGACCCCTTTAAAACTCAGCCGTTTTGCTTTCTAGGCATGCCTTGGTCTCTAATGAGTCACAGCCCTAGGTTGAAGATGGACATGGCAGAAAGAAATTTAACACACACTGCGGTGCACCCATAAACTGCAAGGCCAAGGGAGAGGAGGTATGTTTCCAGTTAAGCTAGAACTCCATGATTTCAGGATTCTCCACTCACAAGACAGTAATTCTTCTTATTTCATCACTAACTTACTTCAAATGTGTTTATACAGTTTATTGCTACTGAACTTCCAGGCAACTGGTGTAGAGTTAATGAAACCCAGCTTGGAGAAGCTTTGAGCTTTGAACAACTAACCACAGTTTAAATGGTTATGACATGCGGTCTAAGACACAGCCCAGACCCGCTGCAGTTTCTATGTTAAGACCCAGTCAAAAACCTTGTCATCTCACCTTTTGTGCGAAATACATTGAAAAGGGAAAAAAACACTGGGAAACAGCCTGCCTTGTTCCTTTTCAAGATTCCCAGCCATTTAAACACATTTATCTTGCTGAATGCAAGGCAAAGCCCCTCCCCCCAGTGCCGGAATAAATATTTTAGTTGCAGTTTGAATCGGCAGCAAGGCTGAAATCCTGAAATCCAGTTAGGGTTAAACTGAATGGGTCAGGCCTACCTGAACCAATGTGAGAAGGGTCTACAGCCAGAAGGCACCAAGCAACATTTAAAACCAGATTCAGAGAAACCCCAGGTGAAACCAGACTGGTAAAGAAGTAAACTCATCTTTCTGCATTACCTGTACTTTGACTTTTATTAATCTTCATTATCATGGCGTCCTCCCCCAAGCTCTGTCCCTGTGGGAACTCCAGCAAGCTCCCTCTCGAAGAACAGGCCCATTTGGGAAGAGTAAAGGGGAGGTCCTGGATTTGTCACTGCTGCACAATAAAAGTCCCTTTTGAGAGCAGCACTTTCATTAACTTAAAGCAATCTATAGACTTAAAAGCACAGAGCAGTAAACTCCCAGAAAGGATCATAAAACAGCCAGTCTCAAGTTGGGTACACTTCAGTGCAATTCGCACGAGGCATTTTACTGTGAGCCACGGTCGGGCCCATCTCCCTCCAGTAACCCTCTGGTCCTTACTCGAGCAGCTCCTCTTTCTCTCGGCTTTCAGGCCTTTCGAGCTCACAAAAGGGAGGCGGTGACCGGGGAGTTTCCGTGGGGTCACAGCTCCCTCCCCCCTCGGGCTCTCGGCGGGAGAGCGAGCGCACAGATTCCAAGCATGAAAAACAACAGCCTGGGAGCACCGCCCGTGGAGGCGGTCGCTGCGCCCCGGGCCACTGTGGCCACTCACGGGTCGCTCCGCTCTGGTGTTCAGTCAGGGCTTTTCGGCTCTCCCAGCCAGGGGCTCGCTGTTGGGGGAGAGGGGCTGCTTAAGACTGCAAGGAGGAAATTTCAACCCTTGCTCCCGTGCACCCCGCCCCCCCAGCAACTCTTTCGCTAGCTGGCCGAAGGAAACCTCCTCCGATGGTGGGGACTTCTCCCCACCCTCGAGCTAGGCCTGGGCCACACGAGGCATATTGAGTGGGACATCCTGATCCAGAAACAGCTCACGCACGCGCGCGCTCACACACACACACTCACACACACTCACTTCCACCCCTGTGCTGGGGCCTCAGAATGGCAAAGTGAGAGAGCCAGGGGTTAGGGCCATGGACTGTGGTTGAACATCATCATATCTCAGATTGGGGTAAGGGTGGCCGTTTTAAGTCTGCTTAACATGTGAAGCATTTGGCTTCTTCCACCAGTTGGAGAATATTTGAAATTCGAAAAGCCAATATTCTGGAGAAGTTTCGTGACAAGTGGGGTAAGGGCAGTGGACCCCGAACTTCCTCCAACCCCTGGAGCGGAACATCGCACTGGTGGTGGGGCTTGCGGGTTTCCCAGTAAGGCCCAAGGAAGGGCAAGCGGCTCTTGGCAATGAGGAGGTGGCTCTGGGATAGTGCGACCGCCGGAGTTGGAGCCCGCCCTGCCCTCCAGCAGCGACTCCTCGGCCTCAGGGAGGCACCTCGCGGCCGGCGCTCCCCTCTTCCACTGCAGGCCTCGGCCCCAGCGCCCCGCCAGCGCCCGCTGGTCACACAGCGTCCATAGATCCAAAATGGATCTTTGGAGCCCGCTGGGCCGCCGGGGTCCATTCCGGGTCCAGGGAGGCTGCCCTGTCGTTTCTCCCAGGATGTCCCTTGAATTTGTCCGCTTCCCGGAATCGCACTCCTAGGATCGAGTCCTTTGCGCCTCAAATCTCCTCCAGAAACGCGTATGGGGACAAGCAGCAGACATTCGGGGATCGCTGGCCATGGCTGAGATCAACTACTTTCGTCGCCTACCTAAACGCTATTCTAGGACTAGAATCGCTACTTTTCCCAAATTCCAATAGCTTGAACCCCCAAGAAAGTCGTTTTCTGTGGCTGACTCCTAAAAACGCAACCCATTCCTCTGATCTCAGCCTCAGCTCTAACCCTGGGTCCCCTAACTCCTACACCTCTAGCCCTCGGCTCTGGCCGGCGTGTAAACTACCCAACAGCCCTTCAATCCCGATTCTGAAAGCAGCCTGGAGCCTAAAACCCAAACTGTAGCCACCCTAAAGCATAGCCCGAATTCAGGGCTGACCCACAACTCCTCCCCTGCCCACCGCGCGGGAACCCCGGCTCTCCTTCAAAGAGCCCCCCGAAAGGGCGGCCCACTGCGCTTTCTTCCTCGGGTTTGGGAGCCCGAAGAGCCCGCTCGCCAACCAGAAGGTAACACAAACTTTGCGCAGCAGACTGGGGACCCTGCCCCATCCCCCTCAGCTTTCAGCTTTTTTGAGCTTCTGTCCCCTCTTTTACGAATTCATACCCTATTTTTCGAGCCAGGAGCTCCCTCGATTCCCAAGCTTCGCCATGGGCCCCAGTTCTCCCCTCACCAAAGACCCCCCCCCGCAATCCACGCAACGCCAGCGACCTCCACGGGCTAGGGTCCTGAGCATGGTGCCTCGGGCCCCGGCTTCCTGACCCCACTGATGTTTCCCGGTCCCCGCTGATCCTGCAAAACCTCCCCAAGGCCCGGCAGGACGCGACTGCAGCTCCTCGACATCGGCCACCCAGCCCCAGGCTGGAGCTACTCTGGCTTCCAGACGCCTGCAGGCAGCGCCAGGCTGGTGACGCCAGTAAGCGCCGGCCCCGGGGCTTCTTCGGAAGAAGACCTTGGAGCCGGCCCGCTCTTCCCCGCCTCGCCCCGCGGAGCGCGCAGCCCGCTGCCGCCGGCGCGCGGTCCCTCTGCTCGGGTCCCGGGCGCTCCCAGCGCGCCGCTCCCCGCCCGCCCACTACAGTATCTCCGGCCCGAGGCGGCCGAAGTCCATGGTCCGGCTCCTCGCCTCTGCGGACAATGCGGCGCCGGTGGCGGGGCTGAGCGCGGGCCGGGCCCGGCCGGGAGCGGGGGGGACTGCGAGGTTCTCGCCACCCCTCAAGCGGCCTCGCTCCGCGCTCTCCAGCGCTTCCCCAGCTTCTCTCTGTACGCTCCTGCCGTCCCTCTCTGCTCCCTGCCTCCCTCCTCCCTGCTGCCTCCCTCTCTCTCCTCCCTGCTGCCTCCCTCTCTCCCTCTCTCCTCCTTGCCCTGTCGCAATGAATAATACTCTGGCTTGGGGACTGGAATAAAACACACGCGCTCTGAGGCAGCCGCCCGCAGCAGCCGCCGCCGCGCCGCCGCCGCCGCCGCCGCCTGCAAAAGCGTCTCTGACATGGAAATGAATGACAGCTTACCTGATGCCAATCTTCATCAGACTGACACCGGCGTGACAACACAGCCTATACTTCCCAGCACAGCTCGGGACGTCAGCGGCACAGGGACCCGCCCCCCGGAGCCCCCCCCTTCGCACACCACCCCTCTCCCCACTCCCCCTTTCTCCCCACCCCCCCATCACCCCCACCCACTCCCGGCCCGGCCGCTTCCCAGTCGCCGAGCCGCTGGAGTGTCTCCCTCTACTGGAGGCTGCGCTCGGATGCCGGGCGCCGGCCTTGCTCCTGCTGGCGGGGAGGCCGAACTGCGCTGGGGAAGGAGCCTCGAAACCGGAGGCAGCCGCGGATGGGGAGCGCCGCGGACCCCCGGGAACTCAGGCGCACCCCACCCAAGCAAAGTCCTCCTTAGCGAACAAGGCGGGCAGAGTTTCAAGACATCCGGGGCTGGGTGGGGGAACCGAAATGGGGTGAGATTTTCGGTGGACCTCAGGAGAACTCCCCAGAAAATATGAAACTTAAAACTAGCAAGAATTCCTTCCCTCCATCGCTACTCCCGCCCCCTATTCCTGCCAAGCTGGCCTCATTTTTATGATTGCATTTGAATAATTCTCATTACCCTGGCCCCAGAAAAGGTGCTCGGATGACACTCCGGTTAGTTATTCCTGGTCTCTAGAGCTTTTTCTGCTGTGGACTTCCTGGGGCGGTTGGCTCTCGGAGGCAGAGGTGTGAATTGGTGGGGGAGGGGAGAGACAAAAGAGGGCAGAGGCTTTGTCCGCAGCTCACCCCTAAGCAAAGGTCAAGCCAGCCTGTTGGAAGCTACTGCTATTTTCATTCTAAAAAGTCCTTGGTAAACTCAGTGAGTTCTGGGATGGGGAGCGGGAATGTAGGGGCTGCTGTTTCAGCCTGGGCCTGCTGGGGTGGCTTCATCTGAGGAGGGGACACTGGTTCCTCACCTAAGTGCCCCGTACCTAGAAGATCAGAGCAAGCATGAGCAGGCTCCATTCATTTAACAAAGGTGATAGTCCTAAGTGCCAAGTGTAGGCACTGTAGGCACAGTCCACCTGGGGGTGCAGGCTCTCCTGCTTCCACTGAAGTTAGCACATGGCTGTCTGTAATAAAAGCACAGGAGAACCCCTTCCGCCCCTCTAGAGGAGCCATTTCAGCCATAGGCCGGCAGCGATTGATCCTCTGACCCCAGACCAAACTGGACCTGGATGAAGCCTAGACAAAGACACTGGTGTACTGCAGGAAAAGCAAAAAGTGAAACCCAGCCAGGCAGCCCAGTTTTCAGTAAAGAATCTGACCCCACAGGTTGAAGGCTGCCCCTTAGGCCATGCCAAGCCTTGGGGTCACTTTTCCCCTGCCTCAGTCCTAGGCAAAAATGAGATAGATCTATTAGATTCCCTGTCTCAGAGGAGCAACTGAGACTTTACTTCATATCCCATATAGCTACTGTTAGGCCAGATCCTCCCAATACCCCCCAAATCCACCCTCTAGAGTTCCTGTGGGAGAAACTCCTCACCCATATCCTGTTGTAGATGGAGTTGAATCCTCTCACCTTCATGCAGATGGTCCAAAGACTTCACTAGCTGAATTATGTCACCTCAGCCTCTGATCTGTGGTCAGAGGCTCTGGCTGCTGACAGCCTAATCGCTATTATATATTATACATTGTATAATAATATAATAATAATGAATGCACTTGCCCTTTTTATGTAGTACAGAAGCGGCCAGATTCACTGGGGGTCATGCTGCCATAAAGTCTGGGAAGGAAGCTGGCTTCAAATATGGAAAAGGAAGGAGATCCATTTGGCCCTGCCCAGGACCCCTGGAGAGAGGGGTTTCACTCTTTCTAGGGCTCCTGGTGAGTTGCTGAAGCCTGCAGCGTCAGAAGGAGAATCAGGCTGCATGTAAATGCTTAACCCCATCTGAGAGGTGTCAGTGAGCAGTAAATAGGTAAATAGTACCACAAGCAACAGCCATGCATCACTGCTCACTTGTCAAGCTCCACATTTTCTGAAATCCACTTCCAGCCCCAACTCTTCCTGGAGGTGGCAGATGCATGGCCAGGAGCTATTCATTTGTGGGATCTTTTCAAATACTATGATTGCCACTAATACCCTTTCGTGCTTTAAAATGTACATTGTAATTTTAAGTCTATGTAGCTTGCTTTGAATATCCCTGTAGCTTGCACAACTTAAAAAAAAATGATTATCTAAAATGTAGCCATTTTTTTATAATCATTTAAAGCAAATGTTACCCCTCTTCCCCTGGAAGCTCAGCCATATGCTGGTGCCAAGGGTAAAGAGGATAGGCAAAGAGGTCCCTGAAAGGCTGCCATCCTCAAGCCACTTTCCCTCTAGCCAAGGAAGACAAAGCACCAATATAGAAGCATTAAATAACAATAACACAAGAATTCAACTGAAGACACAGCCAGTAAATAATTAATGAACAAATGAGTTGTTGATATGTCAGATTCTATTAGTTCTACATCTAAATCCTGGCTCTGTCAGTAAATTGAGAAGGGGCAGAGTAAAGTAAATCGGTTGAATTTGCTCCAGACCCTATACACTTTCTTCTGCGTCATCCCTCTGAGAGTGCAGAGGTAAACACATGTCATATAACTCATAAACATATCCACGTTATAATCAAGCACAAGGTTCCACAAATTCCACTCGTCCCGCCTACATGTCAGAGTGCCTGAGCTCCACTCTGGGCCCCTTCTCACCCCACCCGCACTTTGTCTTTAGGATAATCAGTCCACACCACCGGGCTGCAACCTCTGAGCTCCGGATATACAGTCTCTGGCCTCACTGAATCGTACCTGTGTCACCGTGTGAATAAAAATGGAAGACTTGGCTATATTAGTCTGCTTGAGCTGCCGTAACAAAATGCCACGGGCTGTGCACCTTAAACAACAGACATTTATTGTCTCACAGTTCCAGACTCTGGAAATCCACAAGCAAGGCACCACTGGTGTCTGGGAAGACCACTCTTCCTGACTTGCAGGTAACACGTCACTGTGTCCTGGCATGGCCTTTCCTCTGTGCACACAGCAGAGAGCTCTGGTGTCTCTTCTTCCTCTAATAAGAACCCAGTCATAGTAGATTACTGCCCCAGAACTTTATGGCTTTATTTAACCGTAATTACCTCCTTTGAGGGGCTGTCTCCACACATGAATTTTAGGGCCACAACTTAGTTCCTAATACTGCCCAACCACCAATTCCCTTCATGCTCAACTTAATCATTTTTAATGAAACTTGGTAAATTGTGAGGTCCTTGAGGTTGGAGCCAATATCTCATTTAATCTTAGGATCCCTAAAGTCTGGCACAGTGCCCAGTTTAGAAAAAATGTTCAAGAAATGTTTGTTGGATCGAATGGAACTTATTTCTCCATCATTGCCCCTGTCCTAACTGGGACACTTATCTCTAGTCACCCAGAGTATTTCAGGTCTACCACTTGTCTACAAGCCTCCAATATCTCCATTTCCTCTACCACCAGAACGTTCTTCCTAAAACAGAGGTTGGATCACACCTTGGCTTCCCCTCAAAATCCTCAGTAGCTTTCCAGGACCTAGAAAATGTAGACAAAAATTTATTGTGCTTATCAACAGATCGAGGGATAAAGAAAAAACGCATAAAATGATACAGTGGTATATTATTCAGCATAAAAAGAAAGAAATGTCATTCGCAGCTGCATGGATGGAACTGAGGGAGAGTATGTTAAGTGATATAATCCAGAAAAAGAAAGACAAATAATATGTGTTCTCACCTACATGTAGACACTAAGAAGCTGATGTCAAAGAAGTATTGAATACAGTTGTGTCTACCAGGGTACAGACGAGGAAAGAATGAAGAAAGGAGGGTTAGTGAGTACAAGGGTGTAGTTAGGTAGAAGGAAAAACTTCAAAATGTTCTATAGCACAGTAGGGAATCATAGTTGACTATGATTAATTGAATATTTCAAAATAACAAATAGAAAGAATTTTGAATATTTGCAAAACAAAGAAGGGATTTGTGTCTGAGATGTGCCAGTTGCCCTGATCTGATCATTATACATCATACACTCATGTTGAAATATCACACTGTACCCCATAAATTCATAAGTCAGTATTTCTTAATTTAAAATAAAAACATCTCTTAAAAAGTTTTTTGGGCCCTCTAATAACCAGGGGGACTTTGATGCCCTGTTCCTTAGCCTGGCCTTCAAGTTCGTCCTTCTCCTCTGTCCAGGATCCCTGGGCTCACCTCACCTTGTGCACTCCTGTCTACACCTCCCAGCTCCACCTTCCAGTGGCTCTAAGTGACCTGCTGACTGTAAAGAGCTCAGCACAGTCCCCGGCACATGGGAGGCTCTTCAATAAGTGACAGCCATTAAGTTTAATAGCCTTTTACCCAGGGCTACCACAGCACTTTGCCTGTGCCTTTAATATAGTGCTTATTTAATTGGCCTGAGGAAGGGAGATATTGTTTACTGAGAATGCTGTGACAGGCCTTACCGGCTGTAACACAGATAGTGGGAGCAAGGAAGAGGAAGAAGGAGGATGCTCGTGCTCTCCTTCTGGCCTCCTTCCTGACCCTGGACCCAGGTGAGACTGTGGACCTAGGGGAGCAGGGCCAAGTGAGCAAGATGCCATCCTCGAGGCAATACATAAGGGTGCAGCCCTTGGAGAAAGGGAGGAGAAGAAGCAACCGACACAGTGTAAAAACTCAGACATTATAAATCCTCTGAAAGGTGAGGCTGTAGAACGTCTAGCCTCCTTGTTCATCTCTGATATCCTTCCTTCCTTCCTTCCTCCCCTCAATTTCCTTTTTTGTCTTCTTTCTTTTTCTTTCTTTCTTCCTTCCTTCCTCCCCTCAATTTCCTTTTTTGTCTTCTTTCTTTCTCTTTCTTTCTTTCTTTCTTTCTTCCTTCCTTCCTTCCTTCCTTTCATTTTGACCCTAGGAAATCTTTGCTCTCCCACCCACTCCCACCTCTGAAGTAAGAGGATGAAGTTGGTCCTTTGGGTCTGCAATAGGCAGTTAATTGGGTTACACCTTCAACCAGCTCCTCTAATATAGAAGCAATATAATCCCCAAAGCCTTTCAGAAAAACCCATCTTTCTTGCAG